TCTCTTAGAGATATAGGGTGGGGTGGTATGGACTGGACTAATCTGGCTTAGGACAGGGACACGGTAGTAAACTTTCGGGTTTCTTAAAATGTTGGGAGGTTCTTAATTAACTGCGCAACACGCGGTTTCTCAAGAAACGCTCAGCTCCATGTAGTTAGTTAATATTAAGTTTGCGGGGAACCATGTTCATAAAACGTAGCTCTAACAGCCAAGGCATGCTTTCGTTTATCCATTTGTAGTATATTCAATGACGCTATTATTAACTTCGAATGTATAGCGTTGGGTGATCGGATAGTAATCAATATTTAATTGGAAATAACGAGGGAGAAAGTGGTCATGGTCTAATGTAAGATTCTGTCACGTGTTGGGGGTTGGGCGAGAGGCTGACGACCTCTCACCTTAAAAAGTATAAATGTCTCGAAACCTGGAATCAAGCCTCGGAAACCTCAACAGAATGGAAGACGACAATTGGCAAAGAATATGGACTACTCTTTAGGTACATGGAATGTGAAAACCCTCAATAAACCGGGTGCCATGAAATCGGTACTAGAACAGATAGATAAGTACAATATGAAAATCACAGCCATACAGGAAATTAGACGGCTGGGTAAAGGAATTGTGGACTTAAAGAAACACACTATATGTTACAGTGGTAAAGCAGAAGGCAATAAGGAATTTGGTGTAGCCTTTGTAATAGAACGAGAATTTAAAAGCGCAATAATAGACTTTAAACCAATAAGTGAAAGAATTTGCACTTTGAGAATTAGAACGAAAATTTTCAATATGACGTTGATGAACGTGCACGCACCTACAGAAGAAAAAAGAAGACAGGGTCAAAGAATATTTCTATCAACAAATGGAAGAGACATATGATTCAATACCAAGTTATGACATATATATTATTTTAGGGGATCTCAATGCCAAAATAGGTAAAGAGAAGGAATACAGAGGGGTAATTGGGACAGAAAGTTTACATGATACAACCAACCATAATGGAATAAAATTAATAGATTTTGCAGAAAGTAAGAACTTGATCATCAGCTCTACAT